GCTTAAAGATTCTTTGTTCCATTTCCGTTTAACTGATGTTGAAATGTACCAGCATTAAGCAGGTACAGATTTCTTTTACACGTAAGGCTTAGTCCAGCTGAGTACTTCATAACCTTAATATTATATTCATCATGGCAATGCTTTACAACGAGCTTTTCCAAACTATCTGTTACTGGAATACACTTAGTGTTTTTAGTAAAGCAACAAGCACAGACCAAAAGTCTGTTCAACTTATGAGATCTTATAAACTTAAATCTCCTTCCTTTCTTCGATATTAAATAATCTTCGATATTAAACTCTATCTTTAAATTTAATAATTACTAAAGTATCAAGAGTAAATTTATAAATAAACTTTAATTAAATAAAAATTTAATTAGCGATTGCAAACTTTGTTTAATTTTAATTAATCATCATTACCTTTAAATAACTATAAACAACTAATAAATGGTATTTAATGAAGTTGAGCAAAATTTATACCATATACTATACTCTATTATATAAAAGTTCTAGTGTCAAAAAGACAAACGTGTCCAAAAATGTAAAGCTAAATAAAAAATGCTTATTAACAATAAAGGGGCTTATGATATTCAGGCATTTCGAAGACCAAAATTTGAGGCCACCTGCTCTGATAGAGAGGGAAACATGTGCATTGATAGGCCACCTGTTATAGGCCATTGATAGGCCACCAATTTGAGGCCACCGGTTATAGGCACCAATTTGATAGGCACCAATTTATATAATTATATACACCAAATTGGATAGGCACCAATTTGAGGCCACCTGTTATAGGCACCATTGATAGGCCACCAATTTGAGGCCACCTGCTCTGATAGAGAGGGAAACATGAGCATTTGAAAAATATTTTTGTAATTTCTTAAACCAAATTGACATTCATTATGAAATTTTAAGTTTCTTAAAAAAATCTTATGTACTTTAGAAATTAAGGTCATGTAAAATACAAAACCTCCTCGTTTTTTTAGAAGGGAGAGGGGGAATATAACATTTTTTTGTCATAACTTTTGAACTGTAATGTATATCTTTTTAAATTTTGAATTCTTTGAATACAATTTCATTCACTATAAGATTGTACAAAAAAAAAAAATTCAAATTTTTTTATTTGCCATATTTGGGGTCGGTGCCGCGAAATCGTTGTATTTTCTATGTTCCCGAAATAATTTTTTTTTTCGGCAGAACATCATTATTTGATATTGGTGTTAGTATGTAAAATTTTAAGGTTTGCAGCGTTTCTAAAAGTTTCTTCATTTAAACATGATAATTTCATAGTCCCGCCCCGTTTAAATGCCCTTTTTAAAAATGTGCCACCTGCAGGATTTTAATTTTTACAGTTTTGTGTAACCTTGAGGTTTTTTAAATAGAATCTATAAAAATATATAGGGTGTTCCAAAATCAAACCTAAAAGGTCAATTTCTGACCTGTGTATGGCATATTGTCTTTTTTCTTTTGACCGCTCAGACAATGTTTGCCATATATATTTGATATAGATAGAGATGGTTCTCCTATTTTTCTGTTATAGTTCTACTTGTTATCTTTCTTTTAGCAACCTTCAACATTTTTAATAAATTTAATCAAAGATTACGCGATTCGAAGATATTAGTTAAAATGTTTAGTTTGTTAAATTATATTTTATTGAAGTATTGAAAGTTTTGTTATTATATGCATTTGTATGTAATTCAAAATTAAAGTCTTAATTAAGCGAACTTTTTTACCGAAAGACCCCAAAAAACAGTGCGAGTTAGCGAATGGTCCGACTTAACTAGGTACTTAAGCGGATGGTTTTATAGTAAGGTGATAGAGAAAGTTTAAGGTGAATTGAAAATCCGTCCAACTAAGTAAAAATCCGACTTATCCAGGGTTCGAGTTACCGGATTCTACTACACAACCAAAAAATTTGATAAAAATATTTTTAAAAAACGCTATCAAGTTTTTGATTTTTTTTTCGTTCTGTATGTGTGTTTATGTGTATATTTTACAAATGACCTTATTCATGTTCTTGCCGCTTGTTAAAAAAATTCCAAATGTTTTTACTATTTTTTTTTTTTTTTTTTTTTTTTTTTTTTCTTCATTTGACATTTATTGTTTATTTTTATACACAATATATAAAAAAGAAAAAAAATGCAAATGAGTAAATCAATAAAATTAAAAACTAATTTAAAAACTGTTTATGGTGCGCGTAATAATGTAATTACTGAGTTAATCTTAGTAAGTTACAAGAAGCTGATTTCATAGTGTAAATGTACTTATCTATAGTTTTTAAGTAGACATTTTTTTTTCTTTTTTTTTTTTATACTTTTTAGGTAATAGAATTATGGAATCTTCGTCAGTTGTTTATAATTTTTGGATATAAGTTCGGTCGTTTTTATATATATTATATCATACCGAAAAGTTTAAATTTCAATTGCAGAAAGTTCTTTTGGTTACTTTTTTGTAATTCTACTTCGTTACTTTGTTCGGCGTTCTTTTTAAAAAACACCTGAATATATATTTCTCCTTGATTTGTGATTTTCAGCACGTCTTTTTAGTGTAAAAATTGTGAAAATGGTTTGTTTTTTATGTTTATGATCTATCTTATATATTTATAATTTTAAATTTATAATTAAAATCGTTCATATTATTCGTGAAAATCGCTTGCAATTAAAAGAGATTTATTACTTCAAAAACTTCGAAACTAAGATTTATTACTTCGAAACCTAAATTAAAATGTATTGATTTGAATGTTCATTAAGTTAAAAAAATCCTTTACTGCTGAGGTAAGATAAGTAAAAAATATTTCATTAAGTAAAAAACTACTTTTTTGCATAATTTAAAAACATCTTAAAAAAGCATTCATATAACTAAAAAATAATTAAAAAAACTGGAATCATTTTTTTTCTGAATCTATTCTTGAAATGAAGCTGTAAATGATTCGTTAAACCAATTCGCATTTTATTTTCAAATTCGTAGTCGTTTAAATCGTATACTTTTTTAAAATGCAAAACTACTTATCTTTTTATATAAAAAAAATGTAACAAACCAAGTCTACCTATAGTTAGAATTGGTTTATACCAAGAACATTTCCCGGTGGTTTATACCAAGAACAATTCCCGGTGGTTTATACCAAGAACAATTCCCGGTGGGAAATAAAGCTGCTATAGCCGCTAGCTCATTTCCCACCGGGATTTGTAGATATAAAAAAAAACTAAATTTTGAATGTGTTAATATATTCTCAAACAAGTTTTGTTTTCAGTTCTTATATTTCAATCAAAACAATTGTAAGAAAAAAATATAAAGCATTTATTAGCATTAGCAAGGTAGGTACAGACGGGAAGCATGGAGTTTTTTACACGACTACACTGATCGTTTTTAAATAATTTAAAATTGCTCCCTATTGACACTCAGTGGTTTTAAACTTTCGAGACATGTAAATCTCTAAAGTTTATAATATTGATGTTTGTATAGGAAATTCTTTAACTTTTAACCTAAAATAAAAACGAGTTTTTTATTGTCTTAACTTTTATATAATGAAATAATTTGTTTTATTTTCAACTTATTTAAATTCATTCATACTAAAAATCTATTAAATTGCAATTATTTTCAGTTTATTAGCATAGCCTAAGACAGATTGAATTTTAATACTTAAGCATTGATTGAGACAAAAACAAAAGATTTTTGCTTTGCGGTTGCTCAAGGGAAGTATTTTTGCAAATAACAATAATATAAATAAAGCTAAAACATTTATTATTGATATCGTTAAAATGTCGTCAAAGGAAATATAACATCTGTGGTTAAAGTTATAAATAATTTAAAATTGTTTAAATAAAGTAAAAACAGTTTTAAAAATATTTTTTTTTGAATAGCGAAACGATAATTTATCAGATGCATGTTGAATCTGCTTAAAAGTGAAAAAAAACTGAAATTATTCTTAAGACTTAAACAAAGAATTCCAAACTTATGCTAACGTCACCAAACTTATGCTAAAACTGATTAGCATATGTGTAATAAAACCACCTATCATCTCAGTTCATTTCTAGCTGAATATTCTTTTCCGTCAGAATAAAAATTAGAAACAAAGATAGTAGATCACAACAATCACAACAACGATATTTTATTAAATGGGAAATTGTTTGAGGGAAATTAGAAAAAAAAAAAAAAATTATTTAAAAAAGAATTTATTTAAAAAATATTTTAAATCTAAACTAAACTAGATTTTATATAAAAATTTAAAGTCATTTTTAGCAGTAAATAAATTTTATTAAACATAAGTATTTTATTTTAATAATTTATTAGATTTGGTAGATTTTATGCAATAGAGATTAATAGAACTATAATATACGCATATATGTTTTGCGACCTTTTAATAATATTATATATATATATATATATATATATATATATATATATATATATATATATATATATATATATATATATATATATATATATATATATATATATATATATATATATATATATATATTATCATAAATGCTAATGTTATCATTTATGTCTTAACAAAAAGTTTTTAAAACAGTCTAAGAAATGCAAAAAATTTTAAAAGTAAGATGCAAATCTCCACTTAAATCTTCAGTAAAAGTAAATTACAAATGTTTTAAATAAGTGTTTTAAATAAGTTTTATCCTGTTTTCGATATTTCTCTTTTGAGCGGAAAAGATGATTGAATTTTTAATATTTTATTGACACACTCAATGTCGTCATTAAAAACTGTACAAAAATAAGATATCAGGATGTTTTGGTTGAAAACGAAAATTAACAAAATAACTTAGTTTTGAAAAATGTTAAAATTAAATAGATGAATTAATATTAATAAATATATATAAAGTAATAAATATTCAATAGTTTAATAACTATTAAATAGTTTAATTACTATTAAATAGTATAAAAATTATGTAACGATAACATCAAATAAATTATTATGCTTTTCTTCGAAATGTGTACTTTCAAATGATGACTTTCAGTAAATTTACAAATTTTAATTGGTTAGCTTCTTGCCAACTTCTGTTAGCTTGACATTTCATTGGACGATAAAAAAGTTTCATGGATGAATAGTGCTGATAATAAACATTATAAACAATATCTTCAGAAGCGAAACCGCGAGACTTGAACAAGTAGGCAAAATAAAAGAATTAATTTAACTGGTTTTTATGAAAAAATTTTAAAATGGTAAAAACTTTCCGGGCATATTTACCGAATTCTGCATTTAGGAAATATAGCTGTGTCCACTGTAGGGCACATCTTGCTAACCACGACGACCTTATTTCAAAGGTAAAACTATTTTTTTAAATTAAATGTTTATAATAATTAAAAAACATATTTTAGAATATAAATTATTTTTAAGATTATTATATTTAGACCATGACCTAAAATCTGACCCAAATCACGACCCTTATCAGGTTTTATCAGATTGGCTGGCCCATAATGGTTCAAGATATGGGTTAGGTTGCCATAACTTGATTATATCCCTAAACCCTAACCCTCTTCCTGACCCTCAAATAAGCTTTTTTTTAATCTGTGGAAGAGTTTGTTACATCAGACATACCTATTATGTATCAACTTTTGTTCAGATGTGTTTGTGACTAGCCCAAAAAAGCAAACAAATAACTTTAACATACATCGCCTAACTGAAGGATTACCTATATATATATATATATTATTATTATTATTATTATATATATATATATATATATATATATATATATATATATATATATATATATATATATATATATATATATATATATATATATATATATATATATATATATATATGTGTGGTAATTCTACACTTAAGCAGGCTATAATAATTTAGTTTCGTTTTTTCAAAAACCAAGAAAGGCGTAAAAATGTTTATCAAAAAAGTAATAGTTATAAATTATAATAATTATTTATAAGGATTATTTGCTATTTATAATAGTAAAAAGTAATAGTTATATTCTTTATAATAAAATAGTCTCTATGAACAAGAGCACAAAAGTATAGTTATTTTAGGTCACTTAACTGAAGACCTATATATATATATATATATATATATATATATATATATATATATATATATATATATATACAGGTATATATATATAAATATATATATATATACAGGTATATATATATATATATATATAAATACACAGGCCTCGGCAGGAATAAAGTAGTCCAGAAAGCAGCAGAGCAGAAAAAAGCTCTCCTAAAATAAACTTGGGGTGCTGTTTGAGCTGCTCCTCATTTAAATCAGCGGTATTTCTTAATTTTAATTTTTTTACAACAACCGTTATTTTTAAAAAGCATTTTAGTATATTATGCAATAAATTTTTTTAAAATGATAATTATACTTTTATGAGAAAAGTTATACTTTTGCGTGAACCATAAATAGCTCCAAACTGTTCAGGGGAGTGTGGGCGAGAGCAAGAGCTAAAGCTCTCGCTTTCCGCCGAGACCTGTATATATATATATATATATATATATATATATATATATATATATATATATATATATATATATATATATATATATATATATATATGTATATATATATATATATATATATATATATATATATATATATATATATATATATATATATATATACTATTATGTATATAGATAAATTATTACTAGTTTTTACTGTCTTTATAGCATTAGCTTATAGCTTTATTGCAACCTCATGCTAAACCCTCAGTTGATGTAGCGACACATTAATAGTTAATGCATGTACTAAAACCCCCCAGCAACAGGCTATTTCAGTGTTATTCATAGTTTTATATATATATATATATATATATATATATATATATATATATATATATATATATATATATATATATATTATATGTATTAAACATTAGGAATCAACTAAGGCTACAAAAAAATAATATATAAAAAAATACTATTATGTTGTTACTTGAATAACTTTTAAGTTGCAGAAAAAAAAAGATTGTGCAAGTTTTTTCAGGTTTAAATGGCTGTACCTTATCAATATTTTTTTATGCAAAAATTATATTTGAAAAGCTTGTATTTAAGTTTCTTAGAATTTATTCTTGTTAAAGGTGAAAACTGTGAAACCTATGCGTGCTTTTAAATGCTTTTCAAGAAAATCTAAATAATTTTTAACATTCATTATTATCTTTAGTGCAAATTGAGGGTTTAACCAAATATCATTTAGTTTTGTTTTAGTTGAGGAAAGTATTTGTTTGAAAGTCTATTTCTTTTGGATTGCAGTCCATTAATTGCTTAAACAGCAAAGAACATCGTCTCTGTATGTTCTAAGGAATTGCATTATTCTGACCCAACTACTAATATTTTCATTTAAAAGTAATGATTTTCTTGAATGATCGATAAATTCTAGTGTCTTAAAGTATTTTTTTAGAGATAGAAAGTTTGAATTCTTCATTGTGAAACTGGCTGAAAATTCAGTTACGTTTGTCATGTATGTTGCTAAACTATTTAAAAGGTGGCTTTTCTTACTTTATTGTTGATGTCTTCCGACAAACTTTTATTTACTTTTATGTTTTGATTTATATTTTTCCATGGTTTGATGGACTATTAATTACAACTTAAATAGACAAGTGATTATTTGACATTTAGTATTTTTTGCAAAATTTTTTTTGTGATCATATATTATGACAAACTTATAAATAAATATTCATGTATGTATGTATACATATGTATGTATGTGTATATATATATATATATATATATTTATTTACATAGAGAAAAAACAACTATATTATATATATATATATATATATATATATATATATATATATATATATATATATATATATATATATATTATATATATGTATCTATATATATACATATATACATATACATTCATATATGTATATATATATATATGTATTTTATATATATATATATATATATACATATATATATATATATATATATATATATATATATATATATATATATATATATATATATATATATATATATATATATATATATATATATATATGTATTTAAAATAGTTTTGCACTTGTATTTTGCTCAAAAGTCACAATGAAACTGTTTGTAGACTGTTTGAAATGGTCAATGTTTCAAACAGTTACAAACAATGAAACTGTTTGTAACTGTTTTTAACATATATATATATATATATATATATATATATATATATATATATATATATATATATATATATATATATATATATATATATATATATATATATATATATATATATATATATATATATATGTGTGTGTGTATATATATATATATATATATATATATATATATATATATATATATATATATATATATATATATATATATATATATATATATATATATATATATGATTGACTGACTAAACAGTGAGAACATTCAAGGAGTGCTGAAATGCCCGTTTTAAGGATTAATGCATACTATCAGGAAAACGCATCCTTAGATACCTATTATCTGGTTTATCTTATACTGCTGAGTTAGGTGAGCATGATGATGTCATACTCACCTAACGTCAAATAGCCTGCTCCTGGGGGTTTCAATACAAACATCGACTGACAAATAGCCTGACTCCCAGTGGAGTGCTGCTACATCGACTGAGGGTTTGGTATGGGTCAGCAACCTTTTCATTCATTATTCTTCATTTTCCCTCATCGTTTTCTAAAAACGCTCACTTAAATTAGGCTAGCAAAAAAAGTGAGCAATTGCGCATATAAATATGCTATAGTAGGTAATATATATGTATATATATATATATATATATATATATATATATATATATATATATATATATATATATATATATATATATATATATGATTTAAATATTGACATCTTGTATGAGAGTCTATATATATAAACTAATTTAAAACATCAGATAATACGAATTCTCTCAATACTAAATAATTTATTTAAAATTTTAGCCGGATTATAGACACAGGCATCATCAGCGTATAATATATTATATTTATATTATATATATTACATTATAATTTTTAATAAATTATTTCGTATTGAGAGAATTCGTATTATCTGATGTTTTAAATTAGTTTATATATATATATATATATATATATATATATATATATATATATATATATATATATATATATATATATATATATATATATATATATATATATATATATATATATATATATATATATATACATATATATATATATATATATATATATATATATATATATATATATATATATATATATATATATATATATATAATTTATTCTAATTAGTGTTTTCAAGGAAGCAGAGGCCGAGCGTATTTATTCAATTCGGTGTAAGCAACTTTTCCGCCTGATTTTATTGTAAAACCTTTTAATAATGAGCATATTTTTTATCTTATAACTTTTATTTCTATTTAGTAATGCTTTTCTCTTTTTTTTGTTTGTCATACCATTTCATATTGTGGGATATATGAATTTATCGTATATCTAATTTTACTATATAGACTTAATATTGTATGTGGTCCAGCTGAACAACGAATATTACTGACTGGATTACATGCAGTTGCAGATATTTATTGTGAAAATTGTAAAACTGCACTTGGTTGGAAATATGTAGGTAACTTTTCGCTGAATCAAATGCTTACTTCTTCAACATATGTTTATATATAAATATATATATATATATATATATATATATATATATATATATATATATATATATATATATATATATATATATATATATATATATATATATTTATATATATATATATATTATTATTATTATTATTATTATTATTATTATTATTATTATTATTACTTTTTACGTATTATTGTTTTAGGAGCATGCTTTTGAAAGAAGTCAAAAATATAAAGAAGGGAAATATATTATTGAAATGGCTCATATGCTTAAAGAAAACGGTTGGGAATGATTATTTAATTTTCATGTGGGTTGTATATAGTACATTAGGTTCTAATGAGGTCAAATCATTTCTGAAAAGTATTAATGCCTCAAAAAAAGTTTTCTGTTTAAAGAAAACTCAATTTTTTGCGCTCTTTTGTTATTATTTTTTATTGCTTTTGTTATTGTATGATAATTCATGTTTTATCAGGGGATTGTCTTAGATATTCATAGCGATAAAGTTTTTTTGGGATAATAGAAAATTTTTTTTTTATCTTGTACCTATTATAAATTGTTTTATAATTTATCTTGTGTCTCTGAGATACCCTTATTTCATTCTGTATACAATTATATGTGGTAAGTATATTACTTATGCACGTATAATATATGTAGAACTATATAAAGGTATTTATGTGTATATAAACGTTTTTCTTAAAACTTCTTTAAGTATTTTGTAATTGGTTATATTTTTTAACTAAAAAACGCGATATTTCAGTTTATATAATGCTGGAACTGTAAATATGTATATAATGAAAATGTAGATATGTAATATATATCATGACTGAGGTAAAAATACTGAGTTTAAAGGTAATATTTTGTTGCTGTTTTTTTTCGAAATGTAAATTATTCACTTTAAAAAAATGATAATAATAACTTTTGATCTAGATTTTAAGGTTTTAAAAAGAATTTGTTGATTTGAATTAACTTGAAAGTTTTAAAAAAGAATTTGCTTATAGAAATTTTGTTGAAACTTTTTATTTATAAGTTTATTATTTTGGTGTGTTTTTTTCTTTTTTTCTTACGCTATATAAAAACGTGCCAGGATTAATGCAGCATATTCAGTCATTCAATGTTCATATAGACGAATCGGACCTTTGTAGCTAATTAAAGGATAAGCTTATGACGCCTATATGTCTCGGCAAAAACGTTTAAAATGCTAGTTTTTAACGTTTAAGTTTTACTGATAAAATGCGCGTTAACTTGGAACGGATGTATTACAATATAATATTATATTCTTTCTATTAAACTGTGGAATTCAAATGTAAATATTTACGATTTATGGGTTGCCATAAACACACGTGTTCAGTTGTATTTTTCTTTTATGAACAATGTTTAAAAAATGGACAAAAGTGTTTTTACTTTTTTTTTTTAATAAAAGAATTGAGCTAAAATTATTATCTTAAATCGTAATGGTTATGTTGCGTCACAATTGATTAAATGGAGCGGAAAGATTTTTATATATTTTTAAAAATAAAAAGTTTTATTTTTTACTTCATTTTTATTTTATTGGATTTCAGAGATTATATATATATATATATATATATATATATATATATATATATATATATATATATATATATATATATATATATATATATATATATATATATATATATATATATATATATATATATATAGTATATATATATATGTATATATATATATATATGTATATATATATATGTATATAAATATATATATATATATATATACATATATATATATATATATATATATATATATATATATATATATATATATATATATATATATATATTTGTCCTGTTTTCAAAAGTTGTGAAAATGCTTTCTTTTTGTGATAAAGCCATTTACTTCAAAATCAAAAAATTAGTATAAATCGATAAGACGTTTTTTTAAGGGTAAAGCGATAAAAATAAAAAAGTTTTTTTTAGTTATAATCCATATTAATCAGTATAAATCGATAAAAAAAAAAAAAAAAGATTTTTATTAATAGTACCGATTTTTACATCCATTTAAAACAATCATGACACCATTTAAAGCATCGTGACAATCAATTAAAACAACCGTGATTTTCAATTAAAACATTTAACGCATGCGCAATCTCAACATTCTATATTATTTAAAAAAAAAATTATTTTATTTATATATTTATTTATTTAAATTTATTTTTTATTAATGTTGTATTAATTTATTTTAATTTAACGGAATTAATTTTAATATTAATGTCATATTTGTTATTAATGTCATATTATTAATGTCATATTTGTTTTAAATGGATAAAAAACCCGGTAAGGCGTACACGCATGTTATGTTATATTTATTAAGCTTCAATTATTCCATGCCGTTTAGGTACACATTTTTACATGGCCTTATCTTATTGGTAAAATAACCATAACGTTCATTTAAAACATCCATGATAATCAACACCTTTTTATTATATAATATTTATTTTTTCTGAGTAAGTAACTGCGCGTTTTGCTGGCGTTCTCTTCATACTCGAAAGGATGTGGTTCGAATCTCCGTTTAGACAATTTTACTTCTTTTTCTTTAATATCTCGTTGTTCGTATATTTGCTGTGACACCATTCTCTTATTCTTTTTTTATAGAATACATATGCCTCTCAGTGTTTTTTTCATTTAAATATGTCATCTGTTTAAAATTAAAATTAAATTAAAATAAATTAATATGATATTAATAAAAAATAAATTTAAATAAATATATAAATAAAACCTTTTTTAAAAGTAATATAGAATGTTGAGATTGCGCATGCGTTAAATGTTTTAAGATTGTTTTAATTAATTGTCACGATGTTTTAAATGAATGTTATGTTTGTTTTAAATAAATGTAAAAACCGGTATAAATCGAGTTTTTATTATAAGTATAAAACAAGCCTCAACTATAAAACAAAAAAGATTTTTTGTTGATGTTATTAATAAATGTAAACTTTAAAAAATGTTACTTTAATTTATTTAATTTGTAGTTTAAATTTAAAAAAAAACAAAAAACAAACAGAGAATATGAAGTAAAGATAAAAACGCTTCAACTTGATTTTTTGCTTGCTTTTGTTTCGCAAAACTAGATTTACGTCAGTGATAAACATCTGTTCTTTATATGCTGCATTTCATTAAAGAGAATTAACTGAAAAAAACAAAATGATATCAAAAAAATTGACATCACTTATAATTGTATAAAGATCAACAAATTCAATCTTTATATATAAAAATTAAAGTTTGTGTGTTTATTTTTATAGAAACCCACCCGCTTTATTAATATTTACGATACTTTTCTTGACTCAAAGGATTTTGATGTTCTTTCTACATATTAAAAATATACTTATCTCCTTAAGTTATTTTTTTTTTAATTCATTAAAAATGAGTACGTGACGTTTACGCCAACTGTTTGAACTTTTAGAAAGTTGTTCATTGGTTCTATAAATATGACGCAGTGATTAATGTTAACCATTTATTATTTTTACTTTGAAACGATGATAAAAAATAATATAATTGCGCCATGGCCGCTATATGTACATCGTTTCAATTGCTTTCAACAGTTAGCATTGAAACATTTTTTTTCGCATTGTTTCAGACTCAAAAAAATTGTCGTTATTTAAAAAAAAAACTTGGAGTTAAACCATAAGCCTTCGTTTGAAACTATTTCACAACGTCTTTTGGCTACCAACTATTTTTATACCAAACAACCGTCTGATTAATGATTGGTCTATACTTATTTGTTTGCGAAGTGAGAATTTAAAAGTGCTTAAAAATCAGGAAGCAATTTTTCGGAATACTCACTTACATCATGTATTTTTTAAGAATTATCGTCTTTTATTTGGGGTAATGATCGAACTACATCTATACGTTGCGTTGGTAATTATTGACCAATCTTGACTTTAAAAACTTGAATGGTTTTCGTTTTAATGTGTTTCAGCACATTAGCCACTTTCCTTATCGCATAAGATCTTATTATTTTATCAGGTAGTATTTTATCGTTGCAATCATTGAAATTTTTACAAATATAATCATTATAAAAATACGTCTAAATTGACTTTAGTTACTAAGGTTACTAAATAGTTGTCATTTTTAGACTCAAATAGTTGTCATTTTTAGACTCAAATAGTTGTCATTTTTAGACTCAAATATTTGCAATTGTTACTCTTGAGATTTGCAGATCTAAAAAATAATAAAAAAAAAGTCCTGGACTCTCTTCAACTACATCTTTCTTCCAGTGGCGGATTCAGCATAGAGCGTGGAGGATGGGAGGGGTGAGCAAACTGCTCCTCCCTCCTCTTTCTGCGCTACCTAAGACGGTCAACTGGTATCCCTCAAAACATCCGTTTCTTATTACAAATTTCTGCGTTTATTTTAAATGGAAATAGAAAACAAGTTTCAACAAACCATAGTTTACATACTTGCTTTATAAATTTGCATGTATTTATATTACGGCAGAAAACAAAACGGAAACGTTTTGTTTAAAAAAAAATATCTCATAATCATAATGTACACAATCAATGCATTTTCAACATAGTTCGGTGTATATATTTTTTTTAATTTTATTTTACATTTGTTGGTCGTATTACCATTATATATTGCCAAAAAATGAGGTATCTGAAAGAAGATCAAAGGATCTTGTCGTTAGAACCTTAAATAAGTTCAAACAAGCATTATTAAAGGTAACAACAGTATTAATTTTCTACAAATTTCCTAAGTATATATTATATAATCCAAAGAGAGATCACGCGGATCTCCTCACCAATATTTTATATAAACGTATACGTACCAAAATACAATAATATGTTAAGTAAAAAATATAAGTTAGAACAAACTTTTTACAAATGTAAATAAGAAAAGGCAAAGTTATTAAATCATATTATAATAACATAATACGTCATCTAATAAAAAAATAGGGTTTTTAATTTACTTTTAAAAAAACGAAAAGTAATGGGTAGTTCGATGTCAAAATTCAAAATAAAGCAAAAATAAAGCAAAAACTGTATATAAAGTACTTAAAAAAACCAACTCTAGAAAATAAAATTATTTATAAAAATTAATCAAAAAAAAAAAAAAAAAAAAAAAAAAAAAAATTTTAAAAAAGATATTACTATGATTTACTAGAAAAATATAAACATAATTCAAAACGCACATGGCAAATTATAAGTCAAATTACTGGAAATAGTAAATTAAAATTATGCTCTATACCTAACACTATAAAAGTTGATGCTATATTTTTATATGAACCCAAACAAATTGCAAGAGAATTAAATAAATATTTCGTGTCTGTTGGCCCAAACTTAGCTAAAAATATTCCAAATATGATTAATCCAATAAACGATTACGTGTTTCCATTAATCTCTAGTTTAAATAAATTTGAAGTATCTTCTTCAGAATTTGAAAGTGCTTTTAAAATGCTTAAAAGTAATAAAGCAGTTGGTCCTGATGATATAAATTGTAATATAGTCATAGATTCATACAATACCATAAAACATATTCTTTTTAAAATTTTTAAATGTTCTATTAATCAAGGAATTATCCCCGATCAATTGAAAATAGCCAAAATAACGCCTGTATTTAAAGGAGGTAAACCGTCTAATGTCAGTAATTATCGACCAATATCTATCCTCTCTGTTTTTTCAAAAATTTTAGAAAGAATTTTGTTTAATCAAATATCTAATCATCTTGTTATTAATAATATACTTCACATAAACCAATATGGTTTTAAAAGAAATAACTCTACTGAACATGCAATAGTTCATCTTACTCGTAGTATAACTGATTCTTTCGAAAAGTCAGAGTTCACTTTAGGCGTCTTTATAGACTTATCTAAGGCTTTCGACACAATTGACCATGAAATACTGTTTAAAAAACTTGAACATTATGGTATCATCGGTAATGCTTTAAAACTACTAAAAAGCTATTTAAAACATCGCAAACAATTTGTCTATATCGACGGATCTTCTTCACAAGATTATTTAAATATAGATTATCTAAATATAACCTGTGGAGTTCCACAGGGATCTATACTAGGGCCCTTATTATTTCTAATTTATGTTAACGATCTCCATGAAGTCTCAAAATTAACAACTATAATGTTTGCTGATGATACAAACCTATTCCTATCAAATAATAACATCGACAAACTTTTTTATGATATGAACATTGAACTAATAAAAATATCTGACTGATTTAAGTTAAATAAACTTTCACTCAACATTGATAAAACTAAATGGATTTTCTTTCATCCACGATTTAAAAAACATTTACTTCCAAGTAATATGCCTCTTCTTCATATTGATAATATTCAAATAAAAAGAGTAGTTTTCACAAATTTTCTAGGTATCATTGTTGATGAAAATCTATCATGGAAGAATCACATCGGACATTTATGCAACAAAATTGCAAAAAGCATTGGAGTTTTATATAAAGCAAGAAGCGTTTTAAACAAACATTCACTAACTCAACTATATTACTCTTTCATACACTGTCATATTAATTATGCTAATATTGCATGGGGTAGTACCCATAAAAATAAATTAAAGCCACTTTATTGTCAGCAGAAGCATATTGCACGTATTATAAATTTCAAAAATCGTTTTACTCACTCAAGGTCACTTTTATTTAACATGAATGTTTTTAATATATATCAAGTAAATGTTTATAATGTTCTTTGTTTTATGTTTAAATGTAAAACCAACTCTTCTCCAGCTTCCTTTTTTGATTTATATTCTTTAAAAGAAAAAAACAAATATTCTTTAAGAAATGATAATTTTATTAAACAATCAAAATTACAAACAAACTTTGGTAAATTTTGCATTTCTTTTCGTGGAGCTTTTTTATGGAACCAAATAATTTTAAAAAATTTTGATTTTTCTCATGAATGGAATTATTATATGTTCAAACGAAAACTAAAAAAAGTAATATTCTCAATTGAAAATATATTTATATACTTTTAATTTTACCCAGTTTTTTCAACACTCATTTACTTTTATTCAATATTGATTTAAAGTCAGAAACTGTAGTTAAACATCATTATTTGAATTTTGTTAAAAGTTCCACTGACATTATTTGTACAGTAGGCATTTATTATTTACTTGTTTACTTTAATTTTTATTTTATTTCGTAATTTTGTAAATAATTTGTATTACGAACGGTATATACTTTTAATATTGAATTTAATTTTGTAATGAAAAAAAAAATATATATATATATTATTATTAAAAATAAAACAAAAAAACAAAAAATACAAAAAATACAAAAAATACAAAAAAAAATTTGATGTATGTGACTGAATGTATCTGCAAACATTCTATATATGATACTTTTGGAAGTTAATCATCCTTTGACAGTGGTTAGCATTTTTGTCGGCGAAAGCGTTAACGTAAATGCACCAACATTTGATAATTATGGCTTCTCACACAATGACACCATCATTTGGCTAAATTCTTCTACACAATCTTTTGGACAATCTTGAAGTGCATTTGGATGTACCTAGTGCAATCATATTCTTATTATTTTCGTTTATTTATTAATTAATTAACAATTAAGATCAGTGTAACTGATAGATTTGAGTAACAAGAATCAGTGATCGAGTCAGATGCGAGACGTATTTATTTATTAAGAATACTATGGTATTATTGTTTTAGCTTGAATCATCCGGTTCAGAAGAATTAGTACTTTAATTCCAGCCATAAAGACCATAACTTAAAAAAGTTAAAAACTTGTATTTATTTATTTTTGTTTTTCCTAAAATCTAAACTAAGATCAAAGTTCTTCAACAGCGGTTTTCGGTGACAAGACCTGTAT